TTCAGCAGAATAGAAAGAAGAGTATTAGTCTATTTGTATTTACAACACAAATAAACAAAAAAGATACACACTTTAAATGCCTGGAACAGTCATTTTCAACTTTCTTTTTACCATGACCTCTAGAAATAAATAGATTGGACATCTTGGCCCATATATGATCCTGAAACAAAAGTTTTATAGGACGATTCTTATTCTTACTGTATTCAATACATCCTGATATTTAATTTCTTTTCTTTTCCTTTCCTTCACCCTGCTCTTTTCCATGCCATCTCATTTTATTTCTTATAATGGTGGTCATAACTCACTGACCTGATTTTATAACCTCTACTGGGTTTCAGTGAAAGGTTCAAAAATCATTTGTTTAGAAAATAACTGGAGGCTTACTGTCTCACCCCTAAATGCCCCAAATCTAGTCCTATTCATTGCTTCTGGTAGGCTGCAGCTGGGGGAGGGGGTAAGGCTTAATTTTTATTATAAGTCCTTTGAAAACAGTTTGAAAAATTTTTTTTAACCATGTGCACATATTACTGTATACTTGTATAATTAACTCTTTTTTTTTAAAGTTTGAAAGAAACAATTGAAAATGAAGTTAACAGACGATCTTGTTCTGAGAGGGACAGAATGTTAAGGGCGGTGCAGGAAAATCATTGATGGCAGAGGATGACTTCTTTCCCTTGTTGCCTGGCATGTGCCAGGCCCTCCACAGCAGCGATGGCAGCCGTGTGGCACAGGGAAGGCACTCAGTTAAAAAGCAGCTTGAACCGAGCAAAATTAGGAGGGGAAATCTGCTTTGAAAGTATTTTTATTTTGATTCCATTGTGCCTTCCAGAGATGGAGAGGACTCAGGTTACTTTCCCATGCCACTGTCCACTACTGTAAAAAACTGAGAGGCTGTGACTTAGAGCCAAACCCAGAGAAGGGGGCCGTCCATGGGCAAGCTGGGGGTTACCTTGGCTCCTCTCCTGGGGGGTGGCATCCAGAACCTGCCATCCATTGTACGAAGAGCCCAGGTCATTCCGCACAAACCAGGCTTCATTCCAGACGTGGAAATTCCTGCAGACAGAACCACAAACTGAAAAGCTTGCCTAAGGCCACACAGCAGGTGAGTAGCAAAAACCACATCTCTGATCTAACAGTGCCGCACTCTGACACTTGAGTGCCTTTACCCTATGCCAGCTACTGTGCTAAACCGTGGCGGAAATTGTCTCACTTAAATTCTTACAGCGCTATGTAATGGGAACTATTTGTATGCCCACCTCATAAAAGGGGGAAGCTGAGGCTCAGAGAGGTAAAGCAGCTAACAATGGCAGAATCAGTGTGGACCCAGATATGCTTAACTCCAAAACTTAGGTCCTTGACAACTTTTTTTGAGTAGCAGAACTGATCAGGGTTAGATCCAGTGACTCAGGAGGCAAACCTACACAGCTTTCTCTTGTGTATCCTGTAGTGGGCTGAAAATAAATGAGGCTGCAGCAAGAGTGACACATCTGGCTAACAGCCACGAAGCCTTTGGCTGAGGTCTGGATTGAAGAATGACATATACCAGTCCTAAAATATTCTTTGTAAGTGGCACCCCCTCATCTCCCAATCAGTAAGTCTCAGTAACAGGTCCCCTCCCTCACCAGGTCCAGTCAATTAGCCAAAGTCTTATTCATTCATGATTCTGCCCTCTTCTCCTCTTCACTCGCATAGCAAATGCACTAGCATTGGCTTTGATAGTTTTGGGTTCAACTAGAAGAAATGTAAGTCCAACATAAATCCAAGTTCTATCTGACTTGAAAAAAAAAATTTTATACTCATGAGGTGAAGAAGATAGTTTAAGCAGAGAACCAACTTCAGGAGTCATAAATAGAAGACTGATAAATTTGACTAGGTAAAAATATTAAACTTGCACATAACAAACCAACCAACCAACCAACCAACTGTGGTTCATAACAGATTGTTTCCTCTGCAGATTACAATAAACTGTAAAAAAATACAAAACACATCTATCTGAGAGTCAACAAAGTAGGAGGAAGACTTTGGAAGGGAGTCAAAACCTGGAGGAAGGGGCTAGCCTGCTGCAAGTCCCACTTTTGGTGCCTTTGCCTTAAGGATAGGCCACAGAGGGGTAAAGTGCAGGGCAGTAAACTCCAACAGATAGCGCATACCTTTCTGATCGAGGAGATAAGAGAGTGAGGGGGAAATCCAAGAAAGAAAAGAGTCAGGGGAACCCTAATTAGTATATAAACTCTGCCCAAGCTTCTGGGAGACCTCTGAATCATGTATGTATGAGAGAAAAAAGATTGAAAAAAATCAATAAAGTGGGAATTAGATAGAGATTTATTATAATTAATATTAATATTAGATAGAGATTTATTATAATTAATATTATAGAGTACTTACAAATCCATATGGCAAAAAAAAAGTCAAACATACCAATAATGGACAATGAGCAGGCAATTTTCATAATACCAGTAATCACCGACCATATGAAAATAGTTTTAACCTCACTGCCATTAAAAGAAAATTAAAATGACAAAGAGACACAATTACACCTGTCAAACTGACAAAGATGAAAGTATAGGATGAAACACATTGGTGTGTGATAATCATTTCCAGGTGTGGGAAAACAAGCACTATCATGCTCTACTGGTGATAGTTTAACTTGGTACGATATTTGTGGAGGACAATTAGGCAATGTGTGTGAAAAACTCTTAAAAATCTATATACACAGTAAGTCAATAATTCTACTTCTAGAAATTTCTCCTATAAAAAAATTCACATGAGTGCACGTATATGTACATGAAAAGATGTTCACTGAAGCATTGTTTGTAATGGAAAAAATAATGGAGGATAAGTTCGTCAATAAGGGAATGATCAGATAAATTGTGCATAGCCATGCAACAGAATATCACTTAGCTGTCCAGGAGGATGAGCAAAATCAATTTAGCACTTATGGAGAAAGTTGTCTAAGATATATCCTCGAGTAAGAAAAACAAGTTACAAAATAGTGTAGATATATATGTATATCTATAAACTTGTAAAAATATGCACAAATATAATGAACCTATTTGGATTTAGAAAATTATACATTAAAAAAAACAGCGAAAGTAGTCCCCAATAATTCTATTATCTTAGATAACCACGGTTTAGATAACAGTTTGGAATATATATTGTGTATACGGACAGATTTTGGTGCATATTGAACTAAGATTTACATTATTTATTTTTGTAATGTTTTCATTTTTTATAATGAGAATTACTTATTACTTCTATAATTCTATAATTAAAAAATAAATGAATATTTAAAAATACATATATTATAGAAACACTAATAGCTAATACAGTATGTATCAACATAGAAAGTTATTAAATGTTCTAACTGCTCTATATTTTAACTCATTTAATCTTCACAACACTCTTTTAACAGGAATAATTATTATCTCTATTTGACAATTCTGGAAACTGAGGCACAGAGTAATTAAACAACTTGTTCAAAGTCTCACAGCGATAAATAGGCAGAGTAAGATTTGAATTCAAGCAGAAGGGCTTCAGGGTTCATGTTTTTAACCACTACTTTACAATGTCTCTCTAACTTTCTATTTATTAATATAAAAAGTATAAAAAAATTATAAAGCAGGCTGTTTAACTTGATTCCATTTGGGTAATTAAAACTCAATGCCCATACTTCTAATGTGTACGAACATAAACAGAATGAAATGTCTATAAGGCTCTATTTCAAAATGTTATTACTGGTTTTCTTTGGTTAGTTATATTATTAATGATCCTTCTTATTTATTTTATTTATTATTTTATAATCAGGAAAAAATCGTTTTCATTTTGCATGTTGTAAGAAGCTTCCTATGGGGACCAGCTAGGATATGTGTGCACGAGGGGGCTCTACACACTATACAGCTACCAGAAAGAGTCAAAAGTGCACTTTACGTACTTATCTGATTCAACGTGACCCTGCTATATATCCTTCAAGGCAACAGGGAACTAAAAAGTCAGCTCCAAAACAAGGCAGAAGGGCATTAGACCATAAGAGGTAAAAAAAAAACAAAAAACCCCAACGATAATCAGATTATTAAAAATAATACCAACCAATGATATGAGTGGGAAGAAAGAATACTCTTATTCACTACTGTAATGAAACATGGGTAGCAACAGCAAGATGTCATAAGGCTTTAAAATGTTCCTTTTCTTTAACCTAGAATATACCATTTCCAGAAATCTTTTTTTATGGGACTAGTCAAAGACATGCTCAAGATTTACATATAAGAATGCTCATGACTGTGTTATATATAATAGGAAAAAAAAAGGGAAATAGATAGTTAACATAGGGAAATAGGTAACAATAAGGAAAGAGAGATGATTCAATTATTCAATGGAATATGATACATCTAAAATCTTATTTTTAAAGAGTATTTAATGACTGAGGGAACATGCTCATAATATGTTTAGCCAAAAACATATGATTTAAAACTGTTTATGAAGTGGTTGACTATTAGGTACAGGAAAAAGTAGGATATATTTATCATATGCTCTGTCTTGTACTCCCGCTTTGTAAAATGTGTAATCCCAATTCTATAAAAAACAACTAATAGAGAAAAGGTTAAATAGAAAATGATCAAATATTAAAAGGATGTTAACAATCAGATTACAGATTACATATTCTGAAATTTCCTATAATTGTGAAAAAAAAAAAAGTCATCATAAAAAATTATCTCTAGGAAGACCTACAGAATGTTTTTTGAATGGACCTTTAAGACCAGGTAGAATTCACCCAGGAGAAAGCAGCATGAGTGTGGGAAGATGATCCTGGATTGATGAAAAAGGCAAGAGTGAGATGAGAAAGCAATAAGAATACCAAGGTGTGTGTTTATTTTCTTCCTGGCAGAGAAGCCGAGGGGAAGGGTGGGTTGGTAAAAAACAAACAAACAAACAAACAAACAAAAAACGAATACCCCCAAAACTGGTAAGTAGCTATGTTTTAATACTTATTTGCAAGGCAGAAATTTGAGACAGAGCAGATAAACAAACACATCCTGGTTCCTCTCTCATTTAGAAGCCAACACTTTACTTACACTTCTTTGGATTGTGTTTGCCATTCGAACCCCTGAGAGTGCCATCATGGAAATCCTGGTTTGTTTCTGTTTTTCGCCACACTCTCTCCCACCTCCCAGCCTTGGGCTCTGTTTCTGTCTTAAGGGTTTTTAGTTGCAGGAGCTCAGGAAAAAGACAGGCTGTAGATATCAGAACTACCTGAGGCATTTAGTAAATGATGCATT